ACACTATAATGTGCATGCTGTGTGTCTCCCTCCCAAGCTGGAAACCTGGATCCCCTGGGCTAGGGATGGTACTTAGAGATGCAGCCTCTAGGAGATAGTGAGGTTACAAGGTGAAACCCTTACAGATGGGATTAGTATGTTTATTAGAAGAAACAGGAGTGTGGTATCTCCAGCTCACTTTCCTCCATGTGAGGGTATAGCATAAATGCATCTGTTCCCAGGAGCCAGGAATAGAGCCCTCATCAAAACCAAATCAGTGGGTACCTCGACCTCAGCACCCCCAGGCTTCAGAACTGTCAAATCACCAACTCCATCTTTTCCGTTCTGTTGGTCTGGATAGACTAAACATCACATTAGGCAGAAATGAGCATTATAATTAAATCACCATTAAGGGACGACTGGGCCTTGAAATAAATGTCACCTCATTTAGAGGCTCCTGGCCCGTAGGTTTAACAACAACAAAAATTTTAATCAGTTATTTGTCTATTCAGAGCAGAATCCCCTGTAAGTTGTTCTCATCCTTCTGGTTTCCTGCCCCACACATGCACTGTGAGCTCCAAGGCAAACCAGTACTGTCCTCGAGAACGGGAATCTGAGTATGCGGCAGTGTCCCAACGTACGAGAACCTTAAAACTGCTTGGAAAGGCAAGGGCTATGTGTCTGTACCTCCTTCCCTCTGCCCTGCCCATCATCATATCACAAAAACCAGACCTGTTCCTTCTTTGTCACAACTGAGCCTGGCTTTGAAATGAGAGAGAAGGAAAGAGGGCAAAAGAAATTTTGACCCAAGTAATTTTCCCATCACCTGAAAACCAAACCCATTTTCAGATTTTTGTTTTGTTTGGTTTTTGAGATAGGGTTTCTCTGTAGCTTTGGAGGGTGTCCTGGATCTCACTTTCTTTGTACACCAGGCTGGTCTGGAACTCACAGAGATCTGCCTGTGTCCAGAGTGCTGGGATTAAAGGCGGGCGCCACTACCACCTGGTCATTTTCAGGTTTTTACTTAAATAAAGTTAAGACTCCAGTTTTCAGAGTGTGGAACAAAAGAGCCCTTGGAATATATCTGGCTTTGGACAACGGGCTTGCCCCCCCACCCCATCTTTCCCCGTCTCTCTATTTCAACACCCTTCCATAGCCTGTTTGCAGTGCCTCCCACACTGGAGAGCAAGGCACTTCTCCACCAGGGTCAGAATGATATCTTGTAGGGAGCAGATGTTCAAGGGGCACAGCTGTTACTCCCAGTTACCTGTCTATGTCCCAGCATGCCCCTGGGTAACAGAATCTGAGTTTCTCCCCCAACAGTTCAGGAGCACCTGGTGGCTAGATTTAGTGAGTACTGGATTTTCTCCTGAGGTTGTTTCCATGAATGCTAGCTTAGGATGTTGACAAAAACACGAGGCCTTTGCTCTAACCAACCATATACAGGAGAACAAGCCAAACACTCCGGGTCGCTGTTGAGTCTTCTTGCAAGAGATGTTTCTTCCACAGATCCAAGACCTGAACTTGCTTGGTGCAGGCAAAATGAAATGAGGAAGATGAGAGAAAATGTATCTCTTTCTTTACTCTGTTCACAGCACGTTGCTGTGTTAGGAGCATGATCTGGTGTCCAAGATGGCCAGATGTTCCAGAACCTTCTGGTACTGGCCTGTCGATCAGGCTTTAAAAGCCACATTGAATCGTTAGTTACTTAGTCACTGGTTTCAGATATCGTCATGGTGAGCTTCAGTTGTCTAATTGACATAGCTGGAAAGAGGGAACCTTAGCTGAGGGATTGTCTCCATCAGATTGGCATGAAAGCATGTCTATAGGGTGTTTTCTGAATTGCTGATTTTGCAGGAAGCCCAGTCCATCTTGGGAGGTTCTGCCCCTGCCCTGGGCAAATAGACGTGGTTGTTTAAGAAAGGAAGCCATGGGAGCCAGTTTGTGGTGCTGCTCCATCCTCTGCTTCAGCTCCTGCCTCCAGATTCCCTCCTGGAGCTCTTGGCCTGATTGCCCTTCATAATGGGCTGTAACCTGTAAGCTAAAATAAACTCTTTCCTCCCCAGTTTGTTTTTGGCCATGGTATTTATCACAGCAACAAAAACCAAGGAAATACATGTACCCTCTACTAGGTACCGGGGAAGAGGAGGCTGAGGACAAAGGGGACTGTGAGATTCTGCTATGAAGCCTTAGACTATTGGTTGGCATGGAATCCAGTAGTACATGGAGCACTTGAGTCTGTAGATGATACAAGGAGAGTTAGAGGAAGTGTCTTCACAGAGAGGGCAGTGGGATGGAATCCTGAAGAATGAGGCATTACCATGTATGAAAGTGGACTTCAAGCTGGTGATAGTGTACCCGAGAGGCAGAGGCAGATGAATCTCTGTAAGTTCTGGTCTAAAGGGTGAGTTCCAAGCCATTCAAGGCTACATAGTGAGACAATGCCTACAAATAAATTAAATAAATAAATAAATAAATAAATAAATAAATGTTTCATTTGAGTCTTAGGTCTCTGGGGTTGGATGCTTGGCCATAGGTGGGTTGGTTTTTGTTTTTTTAAGATTTTATTTATTATGCCCGCCATTGGTGGCCCATGCCTTTAATCCCAGCACTCAGGAGGCAGGGGCAGGTGGATCTCTGAGTTCGAAGCCAGCCTGGTTTCCAGAGTGAGTGCCAGGATAGGCTCCAGAACTACACAGAGAAACCCTGTCTCAAAAAAAAAAAAAAAAAAAAAAAAGAAGAAGAAGAAGAAGAAAAGATTTTATTATGTATACAACATTCTGCTTCCATGTATATCTGCACATCAGAAGAGGGCACCAGATCTCATGATGGATGGTTGCAAGCCACCATGTGGTTACTGGGAATTGAACTCAGGACCTCTGGAAGAGCAACCACTCCTCTTAACCTCTGAGCCATCTCTCCAGCCCTAGCTATAGTTGGTTTTTCAACAGTTCAACAAGCTTACCACTTGGTAGCAGCCAGTTACCAAGACTTCACAGGAAGTAGACTTTTGAGGACTCTCCAGTGGCATGAAGGCCACTGACTCTATATGAAGACTGCCATGAGTCAGTCAGTCATTGGATTTGGAGACTTTGGCTTTCTGAGACGTGCCCCAGGAGCCTTCTATACCATGGAAGTCTAGAGAGATACTGGTCATATAAGCCAGATTGGTTGACCTGGCTATTTGGTAGTCACAAATTCCTTAGCAATTTCATCTTTCTCACCTGTAAAATGTGACTCCGAGTGAAATTTTGGGAATAAAATCAAATAGTAGATATGACGTTTTAAACTCATATAGCAAGCTGGCACAGGGCTATGTAGGGCGACACTGTAGCTCCTCCTCCTAGTAGCCCCAACAGGTGTGTCCTGTTAAAATGGAGAAGTGTGCTAGACACACTGTGGCCTATAGGCTGAAGATGGATGCCCCAACATTACAGAGGAACTTTGGGTGACTGTCCAGGTAGTGGATGTCTCTGTCAATTCTAGAGTTTATATATTTTCCTTCTGTGGTCTTTGATAGAGTTGAAGACAGATAGTTATGGTTATAGTTTTCTTCAGTTATTATAAAAGATAAGTTATCTTTCTTTTTATTTAGAAAAGAGAAGACGATGGGGAATGTACTTCTTTGTATGTTTATCTTATTGATTATTGAATGAAATACCGTTTGGCCAATGAGACAGCAAGTTAGACAGGACTAGGAGTCAAAGAGGATTCTGGGAACTGTAGTAGAGAAGTGGTGATCCAGGCAGGAAGTGTCACAGCAAGGAGACTCATATGTAAGCAAAGGAAATAGGAAGTGTCGCCCCTTTTCCCTTGGCCTCCTCCAGCCTCGAGGTGTGATCCACCGGCAAGGAGGGATGCTAATAAGGTGTCCGATAAGTCTTAACAAAATATATAGATTTATGATACTTGAGACTGAGCTAACAGATGAGAAATCCTAGTCATTGGCCAAGCAGCATTGTACCTAATACAAGTCTCTCTGTGTATTAATTTGGGCCCTAACTTGGGCGGGTGGCTGGCGTAAAGCACACATGTGGCGATGGGGCTTGGCAGCTTTTGGCGGAAAGATTTATCGTAACAGGGCTACATACTTGAAACTCCAGTACTTGGGAGGTAGATTGGAGGGAACAAAAGTTCTAAGCCAGCCAGGACAACAGAGGGATGTATATATTCAGATAGCATTCTGGAAAGGTAAAAAGTGATGTCTCAGGGCCTGGGGAAATGACTTGGTCAATAAAGTACTTGCTCACAAGCATAGGGGCCTGAGTTCAGTCTCCAGCACCCATGTGGAAAGCTGGGTGTGGTGTTACACCCTGGGGATCCCAGAGCAGGACAGCAGAGACAGGAGAATTCTGGGGCTTGCTGACCAGCCAGCCTAGCATAATTGGGAAGCTCTGAGACCAGGACAAAGATCTGGTCAAGAAACACAGCAAATGGAGTTGGAGAGATGTCTCAACTGTTAAAAGTCCTAGCTATTCTTCAAGAGGACCAGGGTTTGATTCCTAGAATCCATATGGTGTTTCACAACTATCCTACAACCCTCTTCTGACCTCCTTGGGCCCCAGGCACACACATGGCACACATACATATATGTAGGAAAAAATTCATACACATAAAAAAATAAACCTAAAAAGAAATTCTGTTAGGAAGGGAAGACAGTGAGCAATGCCTGGGGTGTAACACCTAAGGTTGACCTCCACAAGTGTTTACACCCATGCATGTGTATACACTCTTACACATCTTACATAGCCCAGCCACCCCAGCTTCTATATTAATGCCATTGTGTATGATTGCCAGTAAAAACCCACGTTGAGATCCGGGAAAGGCTTGTGATGGAAGCTTCTTGTAAGACCAGTTTTTTTTTTTTTTTTTTTTTTTTTTTTTTTTTTTTTTTCTTTTCAAGCTCTCCATCTCTATTCCTGTGAAATTGAGCTCTGAGAGGAAGGGGTGGGCTTCAGTGACTCTGAGGTGTGACTGAGTGAAGTGGCCTTAACCAGAGTCCACTTACCTTCCCTAGGAACATGCTTGCCAATTCAGCCAGTGTGCGGATCCTCATCAAGGGGGGCAAGGTGGTGAACGACGACTGCACCCACGAGGCAGATGTCTACATTGAGAATGGCATCATCCAGCAGGTGGGCCGTGAGCTCATGATCCCCGGAGGGGCCAAGGTGATTGATGCCACCGGGAAACTGGTGATCCCTGGAGGGATTGACACCAGCACCCACTTCCACCAGACCTTCATGAACGCCACATGCGTGGACGACTTCTACCATGGCACCAAGGTAATACTCCTCTGTGCCCCAAAGTTACTTTCTCTTTGGTGCTTTATCCTGTTTCTGGGACTGCTTCAGATGAGTCACATGTGAGCCAACACTTCCCATGGCTGGAGAGGTGGCTCAGAGGTCAAGAGCACTGGCTGCTCTTCCAGAGGTCCTGTCTCAGCAGAGTTCAATTCCCAGCAGCCACATGGTGGCTCCCAAACCATCTATAATGAGATCTGGTGCCCTCTTCTGGCCTGCAAGCATACATGCAGGCTGAGCACTGTATACTTAGTAAATAAATAAATCTTTTTAAAAAAGTTTCTCTAGGGGTCGATTGGGGGCAATTAGACTAGGGGTTTCAGCTAAACATCCTACATCATTTAAAAGGAAGTGTTTAGTTCTGCTTTGATGACTGGATCGCCCATATGCAAAGCCAGGAGCTGACTTTACTTTTATATTGCTGTGTCACAGAACACAGACTTAGGAGGAAGGTGAGAATCAGCTAGTGTTTGTTCTGTCGATTGGTAGACTCAATGGTAAACTAGATTACGTCACCAATGTCTGTGACAGATTGTAAAGTCACCTCTAGCTGTTTTGAATAAACAGAAACTATGAACGATACATAGCTATCTTCTGTAATCCTCTCCTAATTGTTGTTTCTGAGACAGGATTTTACTATGTAACCCTGGCTATCCTGGAACTCACTCTGTAGATCAGGCTGGCCTTGAACTCACAGAGATCCACCTGCCTCTGCTTCCTGAGTGCTGGGATTAAAGGTATGCCCCACCATGCCCTGCCTCTTTTTGTTTTTTGAGACAGGGTCTCATTCTGTAGCTTAAGCTGGCCTCTAACTCAAGACAATCCTCTGGCCTTATCCTTTCAAGTTCACTGTTCTTTGAGTCAGCTTGGACAGTAGTAGTGAGTACTCTTTTCCGTGTGAGTGTCTCAGGCAGAGTTCATCACCTGGACAGCTGGGTGTGAGCTACCGTGCATTCCCAAACACAAAATCTAAAAATCCAGACTTGTGAGACAGGTAAGTCAAAAGAAAACTGTGTTTTGCCAAAACAAATAAATAAATAAATAAATAAGATCCCCAAGTGGATGGATCCCCGGTCATTGCTGCCATTCCTCGTCTTTGTAATGAACTGTCTGTCACATGCCAGCCTCTCCCTAGACATCAGATCATGGTCTAGCGGAGGGTAGGACCTAGTCCGACTCCTCTGCTCCCCCAGAGCCTGTGCCTGCAGATATTTGCCCAGTGAGTAAGTGAACTTTGCTTGTTGATGTGGGTCTCTAGCAGGTGTCAGAGTCAGCCCAGCCTCTGCGCTGAGATAAGTAAGATGTTTCCTGGCTCTGAGGACTGTCACAGTCTGAGGAAGTAAAGGCCTTCTCCTCTAACTCTGCCGGCATTCTGCAGGTGATGTTTTACTGGTGAGATAGGAAACCCCATCCTCATAAACCTGGGGTCTTTTTGCAGGTTGCTGTGGTGGCACTTGGGCTTTCCTTAAAGTGAGTAAGTATATCTGGTCACCACCCTGAGAACCAAGGCCAGGCCTATTTTGTTTGTGGTTATTTTCTTTCTTTTCAGTTTTTCAAGGCAGGGCCTCTCTGGGTAGCTCTGGTTGTCCTGGGATCTCTCTGTAGACCAGGCTGGCCTTGAACTCAGAGATCCACCTGCTTCTTCCTCCTGAGTTCTGGGATTAAAAGCATGTGCCACCACCCAGCTGTTTGTGGTTATTTCCATTAATAATTTTATTAAGACACTGTGTACACACAGAGGTGAACATGGGCACCTAGAGTCGTCACACCTGAACATGCTCTTGTCACCAGCTCCTCTTCAATGGACCAAGACCCAGAAGCCCTGCCCAGTCTCCATCAAGGATAACCACCATCCTGACTTCAAATACTACAGATTTGTTAATGTAACAGTGAGGTATTATTCACAAATCATATAATTCACTAAATAAAGTATACAAGGGGGTGAGGACACATCTGGAATGCCTGAACTTGAGGAATGGAACTGGGAGGATTGTTGAAAACTTGAGGCCAGACTGGGCTGCACAGAATTGGGTCAGCCAGGGCTACGTGGGAAATGTCTCAAAATGAATAAGTAGATAAACTAAAGCAGTTGAGCCATTGGTTTTTAGTGTACTTGGTATAGATTGGTTTTGAGTGTTTACCTGAGGTTCTTTATGTAAATGAAATGCAGTAGTTCTTTCACTCAAAACTTCTTGCAAGTTGTTGCATGTTGTTGCCTGTTGGGTGTCCTGGCTTTGTGGCAGTGCACATAGAACATCTGGTTCTACCGTACTGTTGCTGAGATGTTTCTGTGGCTGTCTTTTGGCAGGCATATTTGTACACAGTGCTGTGCATATCCCTGGGGATGTAACTGCCAGGCCAGGGTATGTTTCACAGACACGTTCAGCACTTGTAGATTCTGCCCAATAGCTTCCAAACTGGTTAGGCCAATTTCAATCCTAGCAGGTAGTGTAGAAGGCATAGTGATTAACACTGACATGACTGATAAGCAGTCCAGTCAGTCTTGGGGCCCATTCTGTATGTGCTCAGGCCTTGAACCCAAAATTATAGCTTGTTGGTTGCTGCCTCTGCTTTGGGAGACCTCTCATCCTGAGTGGGATGCCACCCTGTCACTGCACTTTCTCCCAGCCTTGGAGAGGTCAGAGTGCCCTTCTCTGTCCTCTTTTCCATGCTGGCTATGGCCAGGGCCTCATTAGCCAGGAGAGACAGGTTTTCCCCTGAGAGCCTCCAGCTCTTTATAACCGATCAAGAGTTCTGTGCATTACTCTCTGTGCAAGGTGGAAGGGAACCCTTGATCTTTTCCAGTCTGCTCATCCATTAGGACAGAAAATACCAAAAGAATATCCAAAGGCCCCTGTGGGATTAAAGGCCCCAGTTCTGCAGGTGTGGGCTGCTGCAGACACCCCCACTCTGTGTAATGCATTGTTGGAATTTAAATGGAAGATCCTCCTCTGCCAAGCCATCCTGGTTCCTGGTGACAGTGACACCTAAGTGGATTGTGTGTGTGTGTGTGTGTGTGTGTGTGTGTGTGTGTGTGTGTGGGTGGTGTGTCATGCATGTCTATGTGTCTGTGTGGTATGCATGTAGGGCTAAGAGGACAACTTGTAATTGGTTCTCTCGGTTACATGGGTTCCAGGGAGGGTACTTATGTTGCCAAGATTGCATGGCAAATACCTTCCCCTGCTGACCCAGCTCACTGGCCTCTAAATGAATTTTTTCAATCCATCTCCTAAGCAAGCCTCTATGCCCCAGCCTTCCTATTGTCCACCATTTAGGTAACAAAGCCCCTAACCTTCTCAGAAGTTCTGTCTCAAGTCTCCCAAGAAGGAACTACTTCCCCGAGGTCTCCTTCACTGACCTCTATATCTTCTCTCCAGCTGCTGCTCCTACAGCAAACATTCCGATTCTCCGTCTCAACTAGACCCTGGTAGAAGAACTGCTTCCCTGTTGACACTGACTGCCGGGGGTAGAGGTGGAGGACTGTGGGTTTAATTGTGACAATGTGGCCTTCATGCAAAGGTTGTACACTCCGGATAAATGGCCATCCATCTGTTTAGCATGACCAGGAAAGACTCATTGACTCTAAGGATAGATGTGGGTTTATAATAGAATCACAGTCCAGAGGAAAAGCTGTGATTGGCCAACAGAGTAGGAGGGATCAAGTTGCATCTTTTCCTGCCTGTTTGGCAGACCCACTTGGGTCTTGAACCTTGCACCCCCAGTGCATGGCCTCCTCAAAACATGCATGCATGATGTTTGGAGACCAGCAGGCCCGGGAGAGAAAAATAGTTGAAAGCCTGGCTTTGCTGGGAACATCTGGGTGTCCATTGTGCTGAGTCTGAAGGGAATTGTCTCCAGCACGATAGCAAGCCAGTGGCAGGCTCTGCCTTGCTCTTCTACTCAGGGCTCCACCACTTGGCTCACTATTATCCTGCCTGCTCTAGGCACCACCTCCCCCACACCACTCCAACCTACAGGCTTCCCCTCAAGCAGGACCAACTACTTGCAATAGCCCAGATTCCATTCCTGAAGGCTGTTTCTCACCGTGGGGAGGCAGATGTAGGGAAAGAAACATCCAGCGACGCACTAGTGTTGGCTAAGGGTAGGAGTGTCCTCTTTGTGGGTACCTTATATTGTGCCACCAAGAACAGTCATATGGACACCTAACTGCTGTCAGTCAGTAGCTCTCATGTCCAGGTAAAATAATCAGTATCAGTTACCTTATTTTTTTAAAAAATGTGCGTGTGGTGTGTGTGTGTGTGTGTGTGTGTGTGTGTGTGTGTGTGACCTACATGCATATCTGTGGGTCCTCTGGAACAAGAGTTAAAAGATTGTGGTGTACTGTTGTGTGGGTACTGGAAATTGAACCTGGGTCCTCTGGAAGAGCATCCTGTGTTCTTAATTCCCCAGTCCAAAATCCATATTTTAAAACTATAGACACCAGCTTCGTCACTAACATGCTGATAGATGGGCAGATGTGCACTGCTGTCAGAAGTTTGCTGTGTGCCTCTCATGCTTCCCCAAAAACTATTGTAAGAACCTCGGCCTAGGCAGGCCGATGGTTGTCAGTCCTTGGAAGCAACTTCCATTAGAACCATTTGGGGAATATTTTTGTTAGTTGCTTGGTTGGTTGGTTGGTTGGTTTTCTGAGACAGGGTTTCTCTGTGTAGCTTTGGAGTCTATTCTGGCACTAGCTCTGTAGATCAGGCTGGCCTTGAACTCACAGAGATCCACCTGCCTCTGCCTCCTGAGTGCTGGGATTAAATAAAGGCTTCTGCCACCACCACCCAGCTGAGAACCATTTGGGGAGGTTTTTTGTTTGGTTGGTTTTGATTTTTTTTTTTATGATTTTTCAAAGAGACAGGGTTTCTCTGTGACTTTGGAGTCTGTCCTGGAACTCGCTCTTGTAGACCAGGCTGGTCCCAACCTCACAGAGATCCTCCTGCCTCTGCCTCCCCGAGTGCTGGGATTAAAGGCGTGCG